CGACTCCATGGCACATAACAACAATGTCATAAAGTAAAATATGAGTGACTATATAAAAATCAACATAATTTGTAAACCATATTGATTTTTTTTTTACTTTTACTAGCTTATTTACAAAATTCTAATACAAATTCAAACAAATTCAATTTACTGTATTGAATTTCTTTTAAAAACATATAAAAGAGAAAAGGTTTGTAAAGTAGATTGTAAGGAGCCAAGAATTAAGCTTTTAGAGGAGGTCCCTCCGCAGGCATACCTGTTTCTAACTCTGCTCCGCTATCGTTTTTGTCCAGAAACTTCCACTTTACTCTTTCATCCCACTCTTCTGTCCAGAGTCCATTCATCTTTCCTCCTCACAAGCACTATTTATTCCAAGTCTATACTTTTAATCCCATAACTGTTTTCAGCAGTACAAATCAGGGTAGTCTAAGAGTGTAATGCATGAAAGGGAAAGAGTTGACTCGATGGCAACTACTTTTACGATGTGGAGGAATATTCATTTTCTTTATGTATCTACTGTTGTTGTTGTTGTTGTTGTTAATTGCCGTCATGTACAACTCAAAGCAACTCTATGAACAAAAGACCTAATGCCTTTCCATAGTTATCATTGTTTCTCCAAGCCCATAGAGTTTCCATAGGCATGTGGTTTAGGAAGTGGATACCACTCCTGTTTCCAAATCTGTTTCACTACTGAGAGCTCCACCAAACACTGTCCACATTGGGGAAACCTTTATGGTATTTGATACCCCAACAGCACAAGGTTCAGCATCACAGCAAACCCAGATTACCTCAGTACAGCAAAAAGAATGATGTACAAACTAGAAGAATATGTATCTACTAATCCCTTTCAAATGATTTCTCAACTCCTAACCAAAAGGTTAGGGAGCTCTGGTGCCCTAGTGATAAGGAATTACTCCCTCAACCCAAAGGCACATGGTTTAAATCTATGAACCACCCTGCAGGAGGAAGTGCAATTTCTTCCTTGTCAATTTACTGCCAGCAAAAACTCCTGGAAGGTCAGCTGTGAGTAGATCCCAACTCAGCGGTACACAACAAACAAAAGATTGGCAGATTGAGCTCACATAGAGATATCAACTGACAACAGCATTTTGCTATTGCTCACACATGTGCAGGTCAGCTGGAGTCTGGATGATCTTGCTTGATCAGACACCTCTGCTTCAGACTACAGGATCTTGGGCAGCTCTCCTCACTACAAGTTTGGTGATTGAAGTTGCACTGCTTTATTCATCATGATCTTTAGTAAGATATCTGGAGTATGTTTCTTTCAGAGAGTAATCAAAAAAAATCAGAAAAACAAACAAAAACGTGACACCTCTTATGAGCTAGGCTTAGAACAATCTAACTCATTCTACCAGCCAAAGTGAGTTACGAGTTACATAACTAATCACAAAAACAAGGGGTGTGGAAATACACTCTGCCCCTTTAGTGTGAGGGACTATGAAGTCATGTTATAAAGGGCATGAATGCTGGAAGAGGTGCTAAAATTTTTAGGCCAATACAGTCGTCCATCCCAATCTAAATGCATACTTTAACAAAGTCAGCGTTGATCAACACCCAAGATATCAAAGGGACTCGGTACCATATAAATATTTGGACAAATGAAGTTTCTTTAAATTGCAAATGTTGTCATATTGAGAATACTTTTCAATGGTCATTTGGTTCTGTACCGAGTTTTTCTGTGCATTTGCACATATAACCCTCATCATTGAAGAGATCCATATTTGTTCCCACTCCCACGAAAACTGATCAAACAGAATTTGGAAACTATCAAGCAATATCTCTAATATCACATGCAAGCAAAGAGCATTCAAAACCAACTAGAACAGTACATAGATAGGGAACTGCCAGAAGTTCAAGCAGGATTTAGAGAGGCCATGGCATCAGGGGTATCAATGCTGCTGTCAGGTGGATCCTGCCTGAACGTAAAGAATATCCGAAGAATGACTATTTATGTTTTATTGACTATGCAAAGACATTTCATTGTGTGGATTATAATAAGTTATGGCTAACATTGAGAAGAATGGGACTCTCAGAACACGTAGTTGTATTTATGTGAAACCTGTGCCTAGATCAGGAGGCTGTTGTACAAAGAAAGCAAGGGAACACTGTTCTTAAGTGTCATTGAGTCATAGGCGACTCAGCAATCCTATGAAGGAAAGTCCTCAACACTTGTGTGACTGTCATCTTTTCTCTAGGTTCATAGGGTTTCTGGAGGCAAGCTATTATGGAAGTGGATGTCACTCCTGCTTCCAAGCTTGTTTTAATCAGGGAGCTCCACCAAATGCTGTCCACCATGAGTAACCATTAACACATTTGACACATCAGTGTCACAGTGTTCATCTTCACAGCAACCACAAGTTACCGCTGTACGGCAAGTGGACACACCAGGGCTAGACGACCTAGAAGAATGTTTGAACAAAAACATTAAAAGACAGGCCTAAGGGCACACATGGTTTAAAATGAAGAAGAAAGTGCATCAGGGCTGTGTTCTCTCTCCATACCTATTCAATCTGTATACTGATCAATTTATTCGAGAAGCTGGACTCTCTGAAGAGGAATATGGCATCAGGATCTAAGGTAGACTCATCAATAACCTGTGTCATGCAGATAACATAACCTTGCTTGCTGAAAATGAGAACTTAAAGCATTTGTTGCAAAAGACAAAAAAAAATACAGCCTTCAATATGGATTGCAAGCATCTCAATGTCAAGAAAACAAGGATTATTACCACTGGGCTGATAGGCAACATCATGATGGATGGAGAAGAGATTGAAACTGTTTAACAACTTGACATTACTTGGATCCACAATTAAGACCCTTGGTACCAGCAGTCAGGAAATGCACTGCACTGGAAAAGTCTAGTAAAAGACCTCTCCAAATTATTGAGGACTAAGGTGCATCTGATTCAGGCCATGGTCTTTCTAGTCACTTGCTATGCCTCTGAGAGATGAACAATGAATAGGGATGGTAGAGGAAGAATTTATGCCTTTGAGCTGTGGTGTTGAAGAAGAGTGTTAGACATCCCAAAGACTGCCAAAAGAATAAATATGTCTTGGAGAGGGTGTGGCCAGAGTGCTCTTTGGAGGCAAAGATGATGAGGCTTCGCCTCACATACATTGGGCATGTTGCTAGAAGGGGCTATTGAAAAAAAGTTCTTCAATTTATGGAAAGTCAGTCAACACCAGATGTCAACTCAAGGGCTTTACCCTAAAGCAGCTCTCTGTTTGAACATTTTGATAACTAAGAATTTCTACAAAGAATGTGTTTTGGTATGAGAAGGTGTAGGAGCAGAGGGGTGAGGATGGGGGGTAATCAATAGTGTGGTACCATTTGCTAGGTGGAGGAAAAGGTGAAGGAAGTGGGAAAGATCTGGTGTGAAAAACAATGTATATGAACTTTATAAACAAACCAGTATAAAATAAAAATTTTATTTAAGAAAAAATAAATGTGTATTGGATGGGAGGCAAAGAGAAAGGCTATAAATGAACTTACCATAATGGTCAATCCTTGTCTCTTTTGATGCTACTGTTTTCTGAAGTACAAAACTTCCTCATATTATCAGCTGATAATAAAATAGACTCCCCCCTCAACTACCCCCTCCCCAAAATCCTGTTTTTCTATAATAGCAGTGGTTCAAGGCCTAGGAGCAGTTCTATTAACTGTGCTTTGGAAAGATGGGCCTATAGATAAATTGAAGCAACAACAGCTCACTCACTCTCTAATCACGTGGGAGGAAACTGCTAATCTTTCCCCTGCAGAGCAGCTGGGAGATTTTAACTGCCTGCCCTTGGGTTGGCAGTGCAACTCCTTATCCACCAGGCCAGGAGAGCTCCCTGAGGCAGAAGCAAGTGGGCCAGGCATGAGGGGCCTATGTTTCCCAACAGTTTCATTATGGGGCAGGGAGGAGAAATGAGATCCACATTTTGACACTTAATAGTCTTTAACTCCTATTATTTGAGGATAGCTGAAAACCCTTTACGTAAGAATCAAATGTAACTTAACAGTTGGAAGAGGGAGCAAACTCTAAGGGCTGGGTTGGTTCAGAAGGCTCTTCCAGAGGAAATGGGGTCCTTTTTCTCTGGCTGGATCTTCGGCTTTTTACCAATAGTGCAGCACTGATAGCGGTGTGTAATCTTCGCTCCTGCTTCACAACATACGCCCTGCAAAAACCGAAATCACTTCGTGCTGAGTTTAGGAACACCCGTCAGCTTGGGGTTGAAGGCCCTGCCCTCTCCTGTCAGCCAGGAGAGCCTTCACTTAGCCATCTTCTCCAGATACTACCAGACTCGCCTCCCCTTCGTGAGCTAAACTTGCTCCTACATGGATCATCCCTTTCTCAGTCGCAGCTCTAAGGCTGCAGTACACGCACACGGTGGCTGATCTCCCACTGTCTGCACCAGACCCGAGGCAGAGGGTGAACTTGGATGTGCCTGCACAGGGGAGTGGGAGACTAGGCCTTGTTTGTAGCCATAGGGAAACTCTTGATCTGATTTCAGGGGAGTCTGACAGATCTTCCTCCGCCCTGCCCTCTGGCCGTGAGGAGCCATCGCTTCTGGTCCCTTGCATGTAGACCTGATACTGAAAGGGCCAGTTTGACTCTAGTCTCTCCCGGCAGAAAGATCGAGGCCTCCTTCAGAGAAGATTTACAACCCTGGAAGGGTGGATGGAGGGAGGCTGTGTGTTGGGTTGTGCTCTGGGAAAGCGTAGGATCTCCAGGAAAGCTGGGACTGTGAGGCTCCCCCGAGACCAGCCCACCAGCCGGCGTCCTCTGCGCTGAAGGAGGCGGTCCGGCTGGCTGCCCTCCCCACGGTGACGTCTCCGGGGGCGGAGGGGCGGCGGCAGGCCAGGTCCGCGCCCTCCCCGCTTCTTCCCAATGCCCAGCCCGTCGGTCCTCTGGAGATGCTGTCGCCGCGGTCGCCTTGGCAGTTGTAACACACGCCGCTCCCCTTCGGTATCTGCGGGGACGTCGGAACCGAGCCATGCGCCCGCGAGCCCGGCTGCTGGCCACACTGCTGGCGATGCTGCTGGCGGGGCGGCGGGGCGCAGCCGGGCGCCTGCTGAGCGGTGAGTGCGCTCCAGGGCGGAGGCTGGGGCGCCGGACGGGGGCTCCCCTGCACTCCAGCCGCCGAAGGGTCCCTCCAGGTCGCCGCATCTCTCCTCTGGTCCTCCGCCCGCCCCACTCCAGGGCTCAGCCCTGCGGCCCCTGCTTCCGGGGCAGCGCTCGCCAGACCCCCGAACCCCAAGTTCCCAGAGCTGCCTGGGCTCCCGGCCCTCCCCGCCCCTCGAGCGCACACGTTCCTAGCCGTGCATAGGATGACCTGAGGGTCGGGAAGATGCAGGCCGAACGGGGCAGTAGGTGGCCCGCTCCTGCGCGCACCTGGCAAGAGCCCCGCGCGGGGAAGTCCGGGGATCCCTTCCCGGGGGTCCCTACTCCCGCCTGCCTGGGAGGCAGCCTCTAAGGCCGAGGGCATCTCTGCTTCACACTACTTGTCGCTTCTTGAACTTCTTGTCGCTTCATGGCTGGAAACACTAACTGAAAAAAGAGCACTTAGAAGTCGGGAAGCGGGAGCCCTGGTGGCGCTGTGGTTAAGGTGCCTGGATGCTAACCGAAAGGTCTGCTACTGAGCGCACCAGTGGCAGGAAGCAGGAGTGGGAGAGATGGGCAATCTGCTTCTGTAAACATATACAGCCTTGGAGACCCTACGGGGCAGTTCTACGGGCCTGTCCTCACTCACTCACTCACCGTCTGCCTTCTCTTAGGTGACCTTCCAGCGAGTTTTTGGAGGCTTGTAAATCCCTGGGGAGGAGATTGCCCATCTTTGTGCCGCGGGGCAGCTGATTCCAGGTGCCGCCTCTGGGTTAGCGCGACACCCTCGGAACTGTGCCCGCAGAGCTGCCCTCTAGGGTCGCTAGGAATTGGGCCGTGGCAGCGGGCTTGTTTCTGTTGGTGGAAATGGGGACAGCAGCTTACTGAAGCTGAGCGAGCGCGGAGGAGCCCTGCCTGGCCGGGGACTAACTCTTTGCTTCTTTCTTCCTGCCTTGCCGCTGCAGCCCCGGACTTGGACCTCCGAGGAGGTACAGCGATCCCACTTCTTGCCTGCTCAGTTGGTCGTGCATGCTGGGGAGAATGCCCCTTACTCGGGCCTCACCGAGGGTGTCCGCAGATTAACAGAGAAGGAAAGATGATGTGAAAACTCCTTCCACTGTGACCACTGCTTGTGAAGCTGATTTAAAAGATTCTAACTCTGGGGTCTGGGTGTAAGGCCTTAAAAGGGGCGGGTAGCTGACTTAGGGCTACACAGCTCCCTCTGTGGTGGGGGAGGGGTGGCCGTGGAGGACAGAAGGCCTGTCCACCCTTCCCCTTCCTGCTAATGAGAGGACACTTCCTGAAGGCAGCAGGGACCGATGAGCCCGGGCCGCCTTCCAGCTCCAGCTCTATCTCGTACCCCCAGCTCACTCAGGATGTGTGGCCAGCCTGGGTGCACACCGGAAACCCGTGTAAGATGGTGGTATTTCCTTTGGCAATCCAACTGTGGGGGCTGCCAGGGAATTCCACTCCTACTTACACAGGTGGCCAGTTTGGTGGGTTCCCCTTTCTAGTCAATGCCCTTTCTCCTCTGCTGTGGGATCTGGAGCCGCCTTAGGGAGTCCCCAGGGAGCCCTGGTGGTGCAGTGGTTACAGTGCCCTGCTACTAATGGCAAGGTGAGCGTTTGGAACCCACACTTGGGGCTGCAAAAGATTGAAAATGGGGCCCTCTGCTTCCCGGAAGATCCACAGCCTCCGAAACCCTAGGGAGCAGTTCTGCCCTGGCTTTTAAGGTCAGAATGCGCTCTGTAGGCTTGGTCTTTGGTTTTGAGGAATCACTGGTTCTTGGCTGGCCCAGAATCCTCCCAGACAGCGCTTCTGGCTTGGGGTGGCCCTGCCTCCCCTACCATCTTTTTACGGTGAATGTCCCCTAATTTTGGAGGCCTGCTGATTTGTTAGTGGACCAGCCTCAATAAGCAGCAATAGCAGAAAAATATCAGGGAAAGGGCAAAGATTAAACTATCATTTGTTACTTAATGAGAATTTTTGAACAGAACTGATGAGAGAAATTTTAAAAAAAAATTGCACAAGAACTCTCAGGATTCCTTCTGTGTGCCCTGTTCCCATTTAGAAGGGATAACTGTGACTTTTGGCCCTGTGTGCTGAAGAGTTTGGGGAATACTGAGTGCCATCTGGTTCTCCACAGCTGCAGAATAAGTTAGGGAAATGAGAGCATTCCAGGAGGGCTGGGAAGAGGCTCCCAAACCTCTGTCTTAGCCCCTACTCTACAGCAGCACTTGACACCCAGAACTCACAATTTGTCTCTCAAATTGCAGAGACTTCTCTTCTGGTAGAAATTTGGGTTTCACTTTTATACACTTGGCTTCAGAAACAGATGTTGTATGCTCCTGTGGAGGAGGAACTGGCATGTGTTTTATGTTCCTGCACCCAGCACCATATACAGGCACACAGCTTGCACTCAAAAAATGTTGACTGAACAAAGGAGCAATAAGGCTAATATTCCTAGCACAGAAAGACGTCAGTCACTCAGACACAAGCTAAGACAGTGTGTAATGGAGAAGAATGTATGAGAATCCCTTCCATTTTTCTGAGACAGTCTCCAGTCCTGTCAGTCAGCCAGACACAGTACATGATTGCCCAGTGCAACCTGAGTCTGGGGGCAAGTCAGAGTGAGTAGTATAGTTCAGTGGTTACTGGCACGACTATATTTAGATCTGGTTCTAACCCAGGCAGCACTGCTGTGTGACCTTAGGCAGATTACTTAAATTCTCTAAGCCTCAATTTTCTCATCTATAAAACGGGGCATAATCAATGTCTACAAACCCATTGGTGTTGAGCCAGATTCCAATTTATAGTGATCCTACAGGACAGGGTAGAACTGCCCCATAGGGTTTGCAAGAAAGCAAACTGCCACACCATTCTCCCATGGGATGATACTCATGGAATTAGTTCAAATGGCTCAACTTCTGCTTAACCACTGGGCCACCAGGGCTCCTTACAGTACTGACACTGAGGGCTTAGGATGAGGATTAAATGATATAGAGTTTATATGTAAATGTAAATACGCTAGCCTCCAAAAAGTTCAAACCAATAGCTGTTGAGTTGATTCTGACCCAGGTAACTCTATAGGATGGAGTAGAAATGTCCCTAGAGGTTCCGAGGCTGTAATCTTTATGGAAGTAGATGTTCCCATCTTTTTCCCATGAAGCAGCTGGTGGAGTCAAACTGCTGATCTTTCTTTTAGCAGCTGAGCACTTAACCACTAAACCACCTGGACTCTTGCCCTTAACATAGCTTCTGAGATATAAGAAGAAGTCAGAAAACTTAGCTGCTACCTAAGAATCCTGGTGGTACCGTCATTAAGCACCAGGCTGTTAACAAAAAGGTCTGTGGCTCAAACCCATGCAGCACTTCCATGGGACAAAGGCCAGGTAGGTAACCTGCCTGCCCCCCATGAGCTTAGATAACCTGTTTAGGAAGCTCAGTGTTGTCACAGGAGATGGATGGAGCTGACCCCATGGTGGCCAGCAGCAGCAGATGTTACCTGTAGACAAGATAAGATCTAATGCTGTTAGCTTCTGGTTACCCCAGACAGCTGAGGGGATTCCCAGTCCTGCTACAGAGGAAGAGGGTTCCAGGGTGGTGGGGGCCACAGCTAACTTTGGATTGCCCCTCTTCTGTGAAGAAAGACAAACAGCAACAACTCACTTGAAGCCATTGTATCCCTTGAGATCCCCTAATGGCATGAAAGAGACATGATGAATGATGACATACATCATTTGTATGTCTGTAAGTGAAATAATAAATCTTCACTTACCTCTCTTTTGAAGGGCAGTAAAAAATGCCTGCTTAATGGAACTGAACCATACAGTGCATTGAAACTGTGGACACTGTACACAATATAGGAATCAGAGTTTAAATTACTACATCTCCATGCTGAAAGGAGTATTGATTTGCTTCGGAAACCCTAGCTGTCATTCTAACAGTTCATTAATATGTAAGCAGGATTCCTGCTCAGACGTACTGTTCAGACACCCCTAAACACCCCTAAGACCGTATATTTTGTTGGATGCTGAAAAAAGGTGACTTTTTTTTCTTTTTCTCTAGGGCAGCCGGTCTGCCAAGGTGGGACTCAGAGGCCTTGTTATAAAGTCATTTACTTCCATGATGCCTCTCGAAGACTAAACTTTGAGGAAGCCGGAGCAGCCTGCAGGAGAGACGGGGGCCAGCTAGTCAGCATCGAGTCTAAAGATGAACAGAGACTGATAGAAAAGTTCATTGAAAACCTCTTGGCTTCTGACGGCGATTTCTGGATTGGGCTCAGGAGGTATGAGGAGAAGCAAAGCAACAGCACGCCCTGCCAGGACCTTTATGCCTGGACTGACGGCAGCACAGCAGAATTTAGGTAAGTAGGTACAATCCACAGCGGCTGGTACATTTGGCATCACACAAAGAGGGGACAGGCTGTCTAGATAACCGAGAGATTTGAACACAAGAGTTCAAAGAGATGTTTTCACACCAGTGTTTACAGCATTGTTCACGATAGCCAAAAGATAGAAACCACCCAAGTGTTCATTCAAAGACAAGAGGCTAAACAAAACATGTGGTTAGGTGCCATCGAGTGAAGTACAAACCCTTAGTGACCATGTCTGTCCTCAACAGATCTAAACCCTGTCCTCTCCTGTGCCATCAAACAAAACATAGCTTCTTCTATTTTCACCATGCGAGGTGATGAAAGTTATGTTCCATAAGGTATTCCTGAACAATGAATTAATGAATAGCGAATCAGCCTTGTCCAACTTTAGTTGGCAAATGTCACAAAAGAGGACTCAGATATCCCCTCATCCTACACAATGCGAATGCCATCAAAGGATCACAAGTATTGGTTTTGAGTTTCCAAATGAATTTTTGCAAGTAAGCAAATTTGCAAACCTGAAATCCATGAACAGTAACAATCCCGGCAGCCCAAAAGTATATGCCATTTGAATCCACCAGCTGCTCTGCAGGAGGACGGGCAATCTCCTCACATGCCATCAACCGCCTCTGAAAACCTGCTGAAGGATGAGTTATGGATCATTTCTGACTTTATGGTACACAACAACACTATTATGCATTTTGGGAACTCTGGTAGTCTAGTGGTAAAAAGCTGTGCTGCAATCCTAAAGGCACAAGGTTCAAATCTACCAGCTGCTCTGCGGGAAAAGGATGGGCAGTCTCCCCCTGTGACATTTACTGCCTCTGATAACCTGCTGGAAGGTCACAGTGAGTCACTTCCGACTTGACAGCACACAACAACAACAACAACAACACTATACATATTATATGTACAGATAATAAAATCTCATACATGCTATTATCAGCTCCTACTCATGCTACCCTATGTATGTCAGAGCAGGAAGGCTCCAATTCACTCACCAAAGCATTCAGTAAAGCTAGTACACGCAGCCTTCACATGGTCCCAACTGACATCTAACAGTGCTTTTTTCAGGTGAATGCAGCCCAACACCATGGTTCTGGGAGCTTACATATAGTGCTGCTGACTAAGGAACTTTTGGTCTAGGGCCTCACTGAGATTGAAGGTCTGTGAGGCTAAAACTTGGGATAAGATTCCAGATCTGAGGGAAATGTGATGATGAGTGGGAAATAAGAGTTAAGATCTAACTCTGTGAGTTGACAAAGAGTCAGGGCTTCAGGAAGGCTACAGTTTGGAGAAGCCTCCTAAACCCACAGCTTCAGAATGTCACACACACACACACACACACACACACACACACACACACACACACCCGCCCCAGCTTGCCGCCACAGCAGGCTGGAATGATTGTATTTTTCCATTTTAGTCCAAGTGGGGAAAATGAACACCAAAATGTATCCAAATGAATGGCTGGAGTCAGTTAGCTCCTACCAAGATAACACCACCTCTTCTTCCTTCTGGTGGTGGGATATACAGTGCCCAGGTGCAGCCATGGCTTATAGTTCATTAAGACTCTTGCTACATCCTCTAGCAGAAGTACCTCTGGGAATGAGGACTCTAAATTTGTAGGACCCCACATTGCAGAGACAAGCAGGGATTTCCAAAGTCACCCACTAGTAGTAATAATGGTAAATGGGGTTATTCCTGCTTCTACTCTTTGATTCTCAGATTCGTGTACTTTAAAGGACACAGACCTAAGATGATGATTCTTTCAAAAGAATTGCCTATAAGCTGGCAATTCAGCTGCACGTTCAACAGCCTTCCATCACTCTGCCAGGCTAAAAGTTTTATGATGCTGCAATCTGTGAAATGAGCAATCCATCTCATGAGTAAGTCCCTTCTCCTGCACCTCCTTTAGATTATGAGGGTTCCCTGAGGAGGTGTTATTTGTGACTCTGCGCTTGTAGATCAGATATGGTGTCAGTCTTTGGGTAGTGGTGCTGTTTAAGACCTTACTATCAGATGCATTGCCAGATGTGTGTCTCTTCTTGTCAAAATAAATCACTGCCTCTTTCAGGGTGAAAAGAATGTAGTCAGCTGCCACCAGATGCTAGAGTGAAGCTCTGTCAAGGGCTCAGCAGTGTAGCCTCCAGTTCTGCCAACATGCTACCTTGCTCACATGCTATTGTGCCACCACCAGGGTGACTGACAGCAGGCTACCTGAAGTCTAAAGTGTGTTTCTCTGGTTGTTTAATGCCTCTTCCATGGCGGATGTTCTCTGGTTAACTTTAACATGGGATAGAAACATTCTTTCACTTTATACTCACTCCCTTGTCTACTCATATCACTTCCAAGGTCCCTTAGTCCCTAATCTTCCCAATCAGTATTTCTTCTGGGATTTGCAGGGATCAGACTAGTGAATTAAATACAGCTATGATAGAGAGCACTATTCCTGAATCCTCTAAGGAATATGATTCCTGAATTCTCAAGGGAACACTGCTCCTGTTTCTCTAGGAAATACTATTCCTGAATTCTCTAGGTCTTTAAGGATGGCATCTTCTGTTTTTTATTTACTGATTTCTTGCAGGGAGGTTGGAAAGGAAAGTGAGTTCAATTTCAGAGATTTCTATTTGACCTTCCCTGCTATAGTTACACATTAGGCTGAGAAACCAGTGTGGGATTCTACCTTCTACTACATATATACTTTTTATGTATTTGGAAACTAAGGAATGGTCAGTGAGTGAGTTCTTTCAGAAGCTATGTCTGAACCAGAGCTCTAAAAACTAGCCCAAATATGTTCCCAGTCCAATGGGAGACCTTAGTGATATTTCATGTATTGATGTCAACTTTCACAGTTATATCTGAGTATATTCCTCACACCAGTGTACAGTTGCCAGAGTAAATGACCATAAGACTCTTTGGGGAAAGAACAGGAGGAACCATTGTCATGTTCACTTTCCTCCAAATCCCTTCCTTCTGGAAGCCTGCCTCTCCCTTTTATCAGTGGATTTGGAGTCTGAAAATAGACTCAAGTCCTGGATTTATGTGTCAGGCATAGTAACTTATCAATCTATGAGATGAAATAGCATAAAACCAATAACCATTGGGAAGAGAAACAAAACAAATCAGGGCCAGATGTCCCTCCCCCCCATGGTGAGAAGGTAGGGAAAAACTAAAGAGAAGCAAAGTCCAACCTCTTATAACTCTGACATATTCAACCCAGGAAATAGGCAGTAGGATTCAAGCAGAGCCAAACTGAAATGCTACCAGCAGGCCTACCTGTTGACTTTCTCTTTCTTAAGGCTGCGCTAAGCAGATGACAAGAGATAAGTAAAACAGGAGGGCCCAGCTAAATCATCTGAGAACCAGGGCAAGATCTGAGGTCCATATGGGACCCATAACCTGGCAGTCACATATCCAACCAGGTGCCTATCATTCCTATATTGTTAGTTCCCATTGAGGAGGCTTCCAACTAATGCTGACTTTATGTGTGACAGAATGAAACACCGCCCAGCCCTGTGCCACCTTCATGATCTTTGATATATTTGAGCCCATTATTGTGGCTATTGTGGCACTCTGTCTCATTGAGAGTTTCTCTCATTTTCATTGATCTCTGTTTACCAAACAGATCTCCTCTCTGGGATACCTCCTATCATATGCCTTGCATATGCAACTAACATTTGCTTTCTGATCCGCTAAGGGTTTGAAATTGTCAGTAAGCCTATACTCCCACTCAGCCAGGGGTTCCCAGAACTCCTCCATCATAACTGGCTTAGGTATAAACTTTAAGTTTTGTGGGGTTTTTTTTTATTGCCCCTGAAGTCTGTCTCATCTTTCTCCTGGGGAGCAGCTGGTGACCTCAAACTGCATGCCTTCAGAATTGAAGTGGAGCTTCTTGGCACTAGGCCACCAGAGCTCCTTGAAGTCTTTGTGGTCTGTCTGATTGGCATTTCCTGATGACATGTTCAAAGGAAGCAAGGCAAAGTAATCCACACTTCGCCTAAGGAGCATCAAATGTTATTACTAACTCAGGTGTCAGCCCCACTTAATTCCAGGTACCATTCGATTGCAGCACTATCTGAATGCATCCTTGAAGGGTGTGAGTGAGACACAGGCAATGGAGCAGCAGTGGCTGGTGGGGGCAGAGGGAAAATCAGCAGCAGCCCGCTCAGGTGGGCACAACTAAAAATGGAAAAAGACAGGGTGACATCCATGGACATAAGAGTCTCCACCCCCTTGCCTGCTTTGACAGCCTCTGCATTTTAGAAAGTCTTGCTCTCATGCTTCAGTTCCCTCCTATTTAAGTACCAGCTGCAAATGGAAACATCAGGTTAGAACTTTCCAACTGTTCCATCTGGAAAGATGTCTGCTTGCATAAAGGGTGTTGTTATGTGCCCTCAAGTCCGAACTGACTCATAGCTGACCTTCCATCAGGTTTTCACAGGCAGTAAATCACACAGAAGGAAACTGCCCATCTTTCTGGTGGAAGTGGACTACATGCCTTTTGGGTTACCACTCAGCTACCAAAACTTCTTTCATGAGGATTATTGTTGTTGTTGTTGAGTTGGAACTGACCCACAGCTGACCCACGAGACTGGATTTCCAGAGGCAGTTTAGTTATACAGGAGGAGATTGCCCATCTTCCTCCTGTGAAGCATTTGACGGATTCAAACCTCATGCCTTTGGGTTGAAGAGTAGCTTGTTATGACTAGTCCACCAGAGCTCCCTCCCTAAAGATTGTGGTTGTTTTTGTTATGTGCTGTCGAGTCACCTACGACTCATAGTGACCCTTCATACAACAGCCCTAAACCCTGTTCTTTTCTGTGTCAATCTCACTGTCTCTGACACCTATCCCCATTACCCCAGTCACTGACTCAGTCCATCTCGTTGAGGGTCTTCCTCTCTTGCACTTTCCCTGCACCCTCCCAAGTCCCTCTCCAAGGACTGGTCCCACATTGTAATATGTTCAAAGTATGCCAGATGAAGCTTCAGAATCCTTGCATCCCAGGAGCAGCCTGGTCTTAACCTCTCTAGGATGAGCCTGTTTGTTCTACTAGCAGTCCTTGGTATATTCAGTACTCTTCTTCAGCACCACAACTCAAAGGTATCAATTCTCCTTCTATCATCCTTGGAAATCCTGTGGGCAGTTCACTCTCCCCTGTCGAGTCACTATGAGTCAGAAACAGCTGCAGCAAATGTCTCTGTGTGTTTGTTTGGTGGGGTGGGGGGTGGGGGTGTCCCTCAAGACTAGACATGCATTTGTGATTGTTAGTGCCTGCAGAAAACAGGAGCAGGGTAGGAGCTGGTGAGGTAAGCCATCCTGCTTTTTAATACAGCTGACTGCTAAAAAAGAGAGATGGAGACACACACAAACAAAAACCAATTCATAAAAACCAAAAAAAGCAACCAGAGCATCCAGACTGGCCCTGCCAGTTGCTTTTTCTCGTAGTTACTTTGCAGACAACATACATTCCTCCCGGCAGAGACACTGTGCCAGGTAATTGATTGTGACAGTCTTTCTATTCTTTCTTTACTCTGTATCATGTTTAGAAGCAGAATGTGAAGTCATGGCCTCCTGGGTCCAGATGGGAAAAGGAAGGTGTTGCTGTCTGGGGGTATCTTCCCCCCCCCTCCCGGCGCCCGTTGCCTTCACTGTTGCCCCTTCCCTGCAGGAACTGGTATGTGGACGAGCCGTCCTGTGGCAGTGAAGTCTGCGTGGTCATGTACCATCAGCCATCCGCTCCCGCCGGCATCGGGGGCCCTTACATGTTCCAGTGGAACGACGACCGATGTAACATGAAGAACAATTTCATTTGCAAATATGCCGATGGTAATGAATCCTCTCCCGGATACACAGATGAATTCTCAACTTCTCTCATTCCACAAGCAGCTGCTGGGATCAGAAGTGTGTTTTGTGCTTTCTCTGGGAAAGCTTGTTGCAAATGCCAGCAATGTTAAGCATTTGGCATTCTTGCATGGGAAAGTGTGGTGGCAAAGGAAAGGGGCATCAGTTACGGAGATGAGTAATGGAGGGGGTAAGGGGTCTGATTTATGGATGATAAAGAAATAATTATTAGAACTTTCATGACATAAAAAGAGCTATGTGTGGACATCCCAAATTCCTATTCTTTCTCTTTGTAAGGTTGGCTGTAGGCATTTGGAAGAAAGAATAAGACAGGGAGCAGCCATTGCTCCTCCAAGACTTCTGATGGGTATAGGAGGTAGTTTTCTGAGGCTTTCAGGAAACTGAATAACAACTAGAGGATGTAGATCATACAGCACAGTCAGACATTGGATTAGAAATGAGTTCTGTTCCTAAATTGATCTTGAAATCAAATTTGTATATTAAGTCAGAACAGTTTGCATATAGTGTCAGTTAGTCCAGCGTTTATCAGCATCCAGCCTTCTAGGCAAAAAAGCATCAAAGAAATATTTCGACATACACTAAAATATCTTTAACAGAGTAAAACAGCACAATAATAATAGCAATAATGATGCTTTGATGTGCATCAAAAAGTAAAACCCATTTGATACTAAGGTCAGAACTCAAACCCAGTGCTGCCGAGTTGACCCCTGTGTACAGCTGACGCGCTGTTGGGTTTCCAAGGCTGTAAACTGCACGGGAATTTGCCTTTTTCCCCAGACGCAGCTGATATATTTAAACCAGCAGAGAGGTGTGACCTTTGCATTAGCAGCACAACTCTCTGTGGACTAGACCACCAAGCATAAGTAAATTTGTGTTTCCCTTGCTTATTTGGTAATTTGCCCATGAAATATCATGTTCAAACTCTCCATCTGCTCCATGTATAAAAGATGTCTACTTCCACAGAAATCGTTGCTGTGTACTGTTGAGTTGGAACCAACTCATAGCTGACCCTCTGGTAGTTTTCAGAGGCCATAAATCTCACAGAAGGAGATCGCCCATCTTTCTCCTGTGGAGCAGCTGGTAGATTTGAACCATGTGCCTTTGGGTTGGCAGTACAAGCACTTCCCAATAAGCCACCACCTTGGAAACCGTGAAGCAGTTCTAGTCTCTCCTGTGTGTTTAACTCATCAAGTGGAGTAAGAATCAACTTGATGACAGGTTTTTGTGTTGATTCCCCCTCTCCCCCAGGCTTAAGCAGGATTTTTGTAAATTTAGAAAGAGGCTTTGATTCTGTAGGAAGATTCACAAAGCTGAGAAAGAGACAGGCAGAGGTCAGACATACACACATAGAAGCAGGATCTCTGATGTGGTAAAAAAATGAAAATGTTACAAATTAACAAGTAAGCACATGTTTACCTTATTAATCAGCTAATTTAATAGTCTTTGTTATTGTAAACTATTTTATTTACCTTGAATTTTTCATCAAATAGGCTCTACCTGGGTGTACATAAATCAAACATCAGTAGCCCAGGGACTGCCTGCACACCAGTCTCACCAGTATTGAACAGAGAGAACAACAGTTTAAAGAGAGGCATCAGCTCCCTGGAGCTCCCTCTGCATGTACAATGAGCATTTGCTTCCAGATCTGTTAAGGATTTTGAATTGGCTATATGCTTCTAATCCCACTGAACTGGGATTTCCTGGACTCCTTCAAGCAGGCTTCGCTCTAAGCTTGAAGTAATTTTTTATCTGCCCCTGAAACTTCTCACCCAACCACTTGGCACTAAAAGCTGCAGTCTTTAGCCATATCTAGTTTAGGTAGGGCTAACTAATCCTATCACTTCTAAATTGCTTGCACTTGACCGTGCTTTTGCTTTAGTTTTGCTACTTAGAGGGAGTTTTCCTCCTCACCCCCTCAAATGAATTCTTTCCAGTGTTGAGGGCAGGATGAAAGCTGACTTGCAGAGCATTTAAGAGTTTGCCCTCAAGTGGTTTGCCATCATTATTACACTTTATTAGCTTTATGATTCAAATTTTATACTTTAAATAATTTTTTGAAATGTGACATTTGGAATTTTGTTTTAACAACCTTTTGTTTGGGGACTATGAACCTAGTTCATTTCATTACATTTTTTTTCTTGTTAGTTTTTTTTTTATTAATCATGCTGTATTACTCGGTTGCTCACTGTGGTTATGTAAAAGAATGGCCCCAGCTTTTAAAATGCATTGAGGAATTTAGAAGTAAAAAGGAATCCTAGCTATAACTTACTCTTAGGAGGAAAAAAAAATCATAGACAGATAACTAATAATTAAGTATGTCACTATAGTAAAATGATAACATTAATGGGATCTAGGTAAAGCATAGGGAGTGCGGGTGGCTTAGAGGCAGGTAGTTTGAATCCACTAGCTGCCCTGAGGGAGAAGGATGGGCAGTCCCCGCCCGTGTGATTTACAGCCTCCAACTACACGGTCAGGTATGCGTCAGTTCCAGCTCCATGTCAGTGAGTGAATGAGCGAGGTGAAGAATACTTGGGGATTCTTTATGTCGATTGAAAAAGATTTTCATAGATCTGAAATTCTTTCCATTTAAGAAGTTAAAAAAACCCCACACACAACTCCTCTGAGAAGTGGACTAGGGGAGGGGGAAGGAGAAGGGAGGGAGGAAAATGTGCAACAATGAATGAATGAAAATCCAATCTTTCTGTAAACTTTAGTTAAAATCACAATTTTAAAAACCCAGTAAAAACAAGACAAAAATAAAAAGCCATCAGAATATAAAATATGTAAATAAAATGAGGGTACGACACCCTGCTATAAGAATCATAGCAACTCACACCACATAGGTGCTCTGATGGCATAGTGTGTTACATATTATGTTATGAACCAAAAGGTCAGCAGTTCAAATCTACCAGCTGCTCGCTCCTCAGGGAAAAGAAGGGCGATTTCCCTTTGTACAGAATTAAGCCTCGGAAATAGTAGAGGGTCGTTATGAATCAAAAATCTTCTCAGCAGCATGCAGTCCCCCCCCCCCCATTGTACTTTAATTAGGAAGCTCTGGGAGGGTAGTCATAGGGAGGTGCATTGCTAACCCAAAGGCAGAGCCTCTCTTCAAATCCACCAGCTGCCCCTTGGGAGAAAGATAACTAATCTCCCTGGCAATTTGCAGCCTCTGAACACCTGCTGTTGGGTCAGTAATGAGTCAGCTCTGACTTGACAGCAATGATCTAAGTAATTGCCTTAAACACAAGTGTCCCCCTCCCCTTGCTACACAGTTGGAATGGAGTCTGGAAACATACTATGTTTGAATAATTAATGATTGCCCTTGAAATTCACCTGGTATGAATCCAACAAGATGGCACATGATCATCCCATTACAGCAGAGTAGCCAAGGGCTTGTTGCATGATTGTAGCAAGCACTGGGTTTGACTGTGTGGCCATTAAGAAAGGGCTGCATGCTATCCAGACAGGAACTCCTTGATTACTTTTTTCTGGGTGGGGGTGTTAAAAACACAAGTGTATTCAGTGGAAATCAGAGACAAATCATCTGGAACAGTGCATCAGGATACTTGTGCAAAGTCAGGGAAGTGCTGCATTAAGGTCTCATTGTTATTATGATTTTGACAGTGGATTAAACTATGGAGAGACCACAAAATGAGCAGATCATGTAATGCCACTGAATTTTTGGTGTAATAAAATTCTAATTAATTCATAGTTTCCTGTATTTCCAGACTTTGTGGCCCTCCTACAAAGAGTAAGGTCCTTCGAGGGCTGGAACTATTTCTTATGTGCACTTCTCTCACCACTCCCGAGCTCAAAGTTTTTCTCTTTATTATCTTAATTTTAATTTCTTTAACTCAAATCTTAGTTCAGCAGCACTGTCTTCAGCTGTGATATCTTGAGTAAATCACTTAGTATTCACATACCTCAAGTTTTCTTGTGTCTTAAACCAGAATAATAAGATTATAAGAATTAATTGAGTCATTTTTCTTGAACTGTGCCTATCACATAGTAGACACTAAGTAGGTGTTAAGTAGCTCTGGTAGCACAGTGCATAACATATCAGGCTGCTAAACAAAAGGTCAGCAGTTCTAATCCACCAGCTGCTTCCTAGGGAAGAGATGGGCAATCTCTTCCTGTAAGGAGTTAAAAATCAGCTGGGAGATTCAAAGCACCAGCGAGGCATGGTCTTTGGTTTGGCAAGTGTAACTCTCTACAGTCTGGGCCACCAGATCTCCCAACCTAGATTTACAACCTAGGAAATCCCACAGGGCACAGGAAAGGCTTAGGTTGAAAATACAAACTTAGGTTGTAAATATGGCCACTATGAATTAGAATCAATACTCCAGCAATGAATTGTAACATGATTTTTGTGGGTTTTCATTAAATAAATAAGTAGCTGCTTTCCACCTCTACCTATACACAGAGGGGGGTTGGGGACAAGGAAGAGAGTGAGAGAGATGATTAGAAATTTCTACCCTTTCTGAATGAGACTTGAGATCAGGCTTAACCCGACACCCCAGCCTACCCCACCCTACTAGCCTTAGGATTGTATTTCCTAATATCTTATCCTTAAAGCCCCTGTTTCCATGGACCCCAGAGCCTCTGATCAGCATAAGATATTCACTGCTCATACAGGGGTTGAATACATTCCCAACCAGAAGTGAAAGTGTTGGATGTCGGTCAGCATTCTGATCAGACTGGCTTTCCTGGGCTTTCTGAAATATCTATATTAACTCAAGTTCAAGGATCAAAACTCAATACCTAGAGGTTCATTATACTAATCATTTGGAAATTTTCATATTTAAAATACCATTTAAAAAATTAAAAGCCATCAAATTTGAGAGAAGGCTGATCAGACTTTGTTGTGTAAGCTCTGACCTTTGGGCAGAACTGTTTCTTTTGACTGACGAGCCCATTTCGTGACATCTGCTAATACGGTACCAACAGTGTCTGGATGACTGAATGAACAAACAAGTGAGTCCTGGGATTTCTCTATTTCACTCAGGTGATGTGGAAATGTAATTCTTTTTTTGTTTTCTTTCTACTACAGAAAAACCAACAGCTCCTTCTACAAGGCCTGGAGGTAAGCCTGTTGTTTGGGATTTGGATTAATTGGGCCTGTTTCCCAGCATGCTAATGAAAGCTTGACAGTTCATCCTCACTCAGAGACTGGAACGCTGAGCAGTCTATGGAGAACAGCTGTGCCTGGACACACACGGGCTGCTGTGAGTTGAGACAAAGGACACAGCAACTCGTTTGTAGTTTAGTTCTCTTTATAGGGCTAGAAGCTTGTGTTCTTCAGACCAGATTACTGAATAGAAGTACCACTGGTGGGAGCTCTGGTGACCTAGTGGCAAGAAGCTGCACTGCAATCCCAGAGGTGCACAGTTCAAATCCACCAGATGCTCTGCTGAAGAAGGAGGGGCAATCTCTTCCTGTACCAGTCAGATCTGATTTGACGGTACACACACAAAAAAAAAATTTAAAAAAAAGTACCACTGGTGTTAACGAGACAGTTCAGGCAGGTGTACACCACACCCAGAATGACAAGTATTTCATTAAACTCAATCTCTGTACTATTGTGTTGTTGTTACTGTACCATCAAGTCAGAACCAACTCATAGCGGACCCTCCAGCAGGTTTTCAGAAGCAGTAAGTCACATTGGAGGAAATGGTCCATCTTTCTCCTGCTGAGCAGCTGGTGGATTCAAACCACCTGCCTTCGGGTTGGCAGTACAGTTCTTGACCACTAGGCCACCACCAGGCCACCAGAGCGCCAATCTCTATTGTACTATTTTTCTCAAAGCTGAGAAACAATAGCTGCAGATTCAGTTGGAAATGTTACTTGTCTTTATTCACCATGTGAAAGGAATAATTTCATTTTCTGAGGCAAGAAGGCAAACTGGTACTTTATGATGCGCAGTGAGCTGCTGGCCCCCAGCCTTGGTGCCCTGGCACATCATGTGGCTGTTGGCAGCTACTTCTTGGCTGTTCTAACACCTCATCTTTGGCAGCAAAAGCTTTTCTAAAAAGATGACAACACAGAAACTTGTAGGGCAAAAAATGCAACCCATTACTTTTCTACTTTTATAAACTGCACTAGCCAAATTTCTGCTGTTTATTTGTGCCCACCTTGGCCCTCTTAGGACCTCCATGACTGCCTGACTTGTGGGGTGCCTCTCTGCAAGTTCTTAATCATATGTGTCTCTCTACAGGTGATAGAACAGAGCCAACAACCCAACCACTCTTAATAATTCCTGAAGACGCACAGAAAGAAGATGCGAAAGAAACATTTAAAGACAATAAAGGTGAGCATAGAACCCCCTTGAAACAAGTAGATGATGGAATTCTCTGATCACACACTGCGTTCCCATGACTTCTTAAAAAAAAGAAAAAAAGGAAGAAAGAAAAGAAACTAGATGTGACATCTGTGTCTCTGCAAAAACTACATTAAATGTTAAATCATCAGTAAAGTAAGCAAATGAACCTATCTTAAGATAATAAACTAGAACCCAGCGGCATGGAGTCAAGTCCAAACTATAACAACCCTCCATGAGGTTTCTCAGACAGTAAAACTTAATCAGGGGAGATTTCCCATCTTTCTTGTACTAAAGAAGAAATGAAAAATTATCATGAACATAGAACCTTGGGAACCACTCAGAGAATGAAGCTTGGAGACTATTAAGGGCATGGCTGAGAGAGTGGACACAGAAATAAGAACCAGAAGACACAGGTCATTATATATGAGAACTGTAGTTAATCAGCATCTATGATATGTAAGCCATGACTCAAGCCATGGTCTTTTACATCACCTGTTATGCATCTGAGAACCAGACAATGAATAAAGGTGACAGGAGCAGGATTGACGCTTTTGAGTTGTGGTGTTAGAGAAGAGTACAGGTGCCCATGGACTGCCAAAAAAAATACATATATTTCTTAGAGAAGGTGCAGCCAGCGTGTCCTTGTGAGGCAAGGATGGTGAAGTTTTATCTTATATACTTTGGGCATGTTATTGGGGAGAAGCTATTCCTTAGAAAAGGACATCATGTTTGGAAAGGTGGAGAGTCAGCTGAAGAAAGGAAGACCCTCAGCAAGAAGGATTGATGATTATACCATTTTACAGTCCCACCAACAATGTATAAGAGTTCCTTTCTTGCCACATCCTCTCCAACATTTATTACTTGTTACCTAGTTAAACTTTGCCACTGTTACTGGAGTGAGATGATACCTCATTGTGGTTATGATTTGCATCACTTATTGCCAGTGATTTGGAGCATTTCTTCATGTGTCTTGTTTGCCATTTGAATATCTTCCTCTGTGAATATTCTTTCCATGTCTTTTTTGCCCATTTTGAAACTGGGTTATCTGTCTTTTTCTTGTGGATGCCCAGGAGTCTATAAACCTTTGTTATGACTTTTGTCTGAGATGGTATTACCAAATGTTTGTTCCTAGTCTGTAGGTTTTCTTTTAACCCTGTTGGAAAAAGGTTTTGATGCATACAGAGATTTCACCTTTAGAATGTCTCATGCATCAGTTTTATCCTCTTCAGACTGAGCAAAAAAAAAAAAAGAATTTCAGGGAGTCATTTTAATTACCAAAGTTTAAAAATAAAGAGTCTGAGAGACTAAATTAAAAAAAAAAAAAAGATGGATTGATACAGTGAATGCAGCAGGGGCTTATGTCAGAAACTATAGGATGGCACAGGGTAGGACAGGGTTCAGATCTGTTGTTCTTAGGGTTGCTGTAAGTTGTACTCGACTCAACAGCACTTAGTAACGACATTTACATAGGATAATATTGACAACAGCAACTTGAAAGATGATGTAGGAAATTTGTTGTTGTTTTTATATACCACTGAGCCAGAATTGATCCATAGTTGACCCTCTAGTGGGTGGGTTCTCAGAGGCAGTTAATCACATAGAAGGAAACTGCCCATTCTTCTCCCACACATAGGAAGTTTGTCGTTGTTGTTGTTAAGTGCCATTGAGTCGCAGGCGACTCATAGAGAGTCCTCAAAGCTTGGGTGCCTTTCATCCTCTCTCCAGGTTCATAGGGTTTCCGGAGGCAAGCTATTACAGAAGTGGATGCCACTCCTCCTTCCAAATAGTAAGTTTAGGGGAGTTAATTAATGTTAATGAAGGAGAAACTGTCAGAAAAGGGGTAAGAATGGCCCCACAATTCAAAGAATGTAGTCAATCAGTATCACTGAACTATATACATGTAGAAACTGTTGAATTGGTGTATGTTTTGCTGTGTATATTCTCAACGATAACAATAAATCAAATTTAAAGAAAGGCATCCAAGAAACAAAGGGAATAGACAAAACATTTAAAAGGGTGGTTCGTAAAAGCTAGAAGAAATGAATTGGTGTACTAGATATCTGGGGTTTTGTCACTGTAGTTGTTAGGGACCATTGAGTTGCCTAGGATTCACAGGGACCCTATGGACACTTGGTCCTGCCTGAACTTTGCCCTATCCTGCATCATCCTCACCATCTCTGATGTGCTCAAGCCCATTGTTAAAGTGTCAGCATCTTGGTGAGGGCCTTCCTCTCTTTATCTCTGATCCTCCACCCTTCCCAGAATGATATCCCCTCCCAAGGACACACCCCTCCCGACAACATGCCCAAGTATGTAAGAGTTTCACCATCCTTGACCCTAAGGAATATTCTGGTTGCACTTTCTCCATGACAGACGTGTTAGTTCTTTTGGCAGTTAGTGGGATATTAAGTACTTTTCTACGGCACCACAAGCTAAAGGCATCATTTTTATCTTCTGTCACCTTTATTCATTGTCCAACTTTTGAATGTATATGAAGCAATTGAAAATATCATGGCTTGAAAGAGGCACACCTTTGTCTTTAAACTGAAATCCTTGCTCTTAAGCACTTTAGAGAAGTCTAATTTGGATCCACAATTAACACCCTTGTCACCAGTAGATAGGAAAACAAAATACTTGTTGTATTAGCAAAATCTGATGTCGAGGATTCTCTCCAGAGTGCTACAGAGCAACAATGTCAGGCTAAAGACTAAGGTGTGCCTGATTCAAGCCATGGTCTTTGCAATTGCTTGCTATTAACTCAAAAGCCTGACAGTGACTAAGGATGGCAGAAGAACTGATGCCTTTGAGTCATAGTACTGGAGAATAGTACTGAATATACTACAGATTGCCAGCAGAACAAATAAATTTTTTCTGGAGAAAGTGAAACCATGTTCCTTGGAGGCAAGGATGGCGAATCTCTGTCTCAAATACTCTGCGCATGTTGTCAGAGAGGCCAGTCCTTGGAGAAGAAGATCATGCTTGGAAAGGTCGAGGATCAGCACAAGAAAGGAAGACCCTCAAAGAGATAGATTGACCCAGTGCCTGTAGCAATGGGGTGAAGTGTGTCCAAGATGATTAGGTTGAATCAAGATAGAACAAGGTTCAGAGCCATTGTTCATATGGTAATTATGCAGCATAGTTGGCTCAACAATACATAACAACAAATTAGAAAGAGAGGACAGGTGGCCTGAAAGTTCAGTGGTTTCGAGTCATCAGCATCTCCACTGGAGAACTCTGAGGCTGTTTGCTTCTGTAAAGATCTGAAGCCTGGGAGACTCTATGTAGCAGTTCTACTGTGTCCCACAGGGTCACCATGAGTTGTTATCAACTCAACAGTAACTAGTTAGGGTATTGTTGGTATTAGGACAGGTAGAAAATGCTCATTTATTGATTTTAGCACATTCTTCTCTGACTGCTATTTTTTCCCCCTAGGAATATTCTCACATGAAAACATTACTGATGCTGCAAATGTACATTTTTCTTTTCAGAGGCTGCCTTGAATCTTGCCTACATCCTAATCCCCAGTGTCCCCCTTTTTCTTCTCCTCGTGGTCACCACAGTTGTATGTTGGGTTTGGATCTGTAGAAGGAGGCAAGTAAACTCTTCATCGTGTAAACTTTTGTGTCTTCTGCATGAGAGGCATGCCTTCAGATTCCAGTGTTGCCCTCTTCACATAACTAAAAACCACAGCACCAGACACTTACTCAGCATAACTGGGTTGAGGGTAAATAAATTCCTTAACAGACTTAAGGAATTCAAATGTGCTAGGCTTTTTAATTCATCATTCTGATTAAGAGCGTTATCCTACACTCATCTGTGAGAGACGGAAATAGACACAGAGACAAAGGATTTGTAATGATATGAGGGATAAAACTGTACTATTCACCCAGGAAAGTATGACCTCATTCAACATTCTTGTTGAGTGAGTGAGCAAAGGACTGAATGACAAGCCAAATAGAAATGACTATCCAACAAATTCTGGTAAAACCCTGAAATGAAACTACTTAATTCAAAATGGAATAGTACAAAACCTTTTAACTGGCCTTTTTTTTCTGTGAACACCCGAAAGTAGATTGCTACAAATAACTACACCACGTACCGTAGACTATTGCTATTAGAAGCTGGGTCATGTGCCACCATGTTCAGTCAAATCTAAGATTTAACTCCTTCCACCATCAATTTAAGTGAGTGAGTATGATTCCATTGCCAGATAGAACTCATTTAATAAAAAAATTCTTTATAGAATTATCCTAATTAAAAGAGTTAATACATGTAGAACTGGCATATAGAGTACATTTTGAAAAGTCAGCCATTGTTATGACTCTTTTTATTAATTCCTTGTATCCTAAAATGAAGACTTTTAGTTAAAAAGATTGCAAAGTTATTTTCCAACTGCTTACACTGCAGTTCTTCCTTGACTTCCCTCCTTTACACCAAATATTTAGCACTAGGACCTCACTCCAGAGGCCTAGTGATAAGGAGCTGTGTACTACCATCCCCAAAGCAGGACGTTCTAATACACCACTATGGGGGAAAGATGGGCAGTCTTCTTCCATGTGCTTTACTGTCTTTGAAAACCCAGTGGAGGGTCAGCTGTGAGTCAGTTCCTACTTGATGACATACAACCATAATATTTATCACCTTAATCAGGATTTTAAAATTGCAACATGGAAGCTGACAGTCTATTTATCTCAAGGGTTTTGAACCTAGAGATACAAGGGTTTGTATCCTACAAAGGTTGTATCCTAGAACCCATTAGGAGTCTAGTAGAGACTATGAACCCCTTCCCAGAAAAATAATCAAGAGGCATAAAATAAATCTTATTGCAAAAGAAGTCATTATAATGGTCTCACTAAATAAAGAAGCATTAATAAAGAACATCCATGTCTTATCATTTCTCAAATTCATTTTTGGAAATAGGTTGCTAGAGCAGTATAATATTAGTATAATTGCTTCCTCTGTAGCCAGAAGGATTCTGGTGACATAGTGTGCTATGTGATGCACTGCTAACAGAAAGATCAGTAGCTCAAGTCCACTAGTTGCTCCTCAGGAGAAAGATGGCCAATCTGCTGCCATAAAGACATACAGTCTTGGAAATGTGACAGAAGGTCACTCAGAGTTTGAATGGAGTGGATTTTATTTTTTTAGTTTGTAATTATCATAAACTCCCTGGGTTTCTGTTCAGCTGCTAACAAAGGGTTTGGCAACTCCAGCCTACCCAGCAGCTCTGAGAAGACAGACCTGGCCATCTCCTCCCCTGAGATCCCAGCCATCGAGATCCCTGAGGAGTACAGCTCTACACTGACGTGTGGCGTTGCCGAGGGTCGGAATTGACACAACAGCTACAGACGTAAAATTATCAGCATTCTGAAGTAGAGTTGAGCAGAAAATCTATTTCAAGCCATCTGTTAGAACCGGGAGGACATTATATGAAAATATCTATGATTTCTGTTGGTGACAAAACCACAGATGTTGCTAATTCTACTGCAGCATCCCTTCCACTGACATAATTAAAGGGCATGGCAGATTTCAATTAGAAAGTATTGTTTTTTAAATTAAGGATTGCATTCAAGAACGGAGCCAGCAACCAGACATTGGAGCTCTGGTGGTCTAGTCCATGAGGAGCTGTGCTGCTAACGCAAAGGTGGTTGCTCCAATGAATCTAATCCACCAGAAGCTCCGAGGGAAAGATGAGTACTCTTCTCCCATGTCACCTACAGCCTCCAAAAGCCCGCTGGAGGTACCCTATGAGTTGGTTCTGACTTGGCTGCAGTGCGAGTTTTTTCAAATGTGATCTTCCCCCCTACTCATTTCTAGCCATGGATTCTTTGAGAGTTCTGTGACAGATTGAGTTCTTTGACACATAAGAACACACCTGACTCTCTTTTGACCCCTCCACCCTAAAGCCCCAGCCTGTAAACTGAGGCAGGTAGAGAGGATGCCCAGGACTACTTCCTCTGGCCAGAGTAGACAAGCATGGAACATTCTCAGTCCCCTTGAGGACAAAGTGCTCAACCTTGGTTTGCTTTTTCCCTAGAACAAGGGAACAGCCAGGCTCCAGCACGAAAGAGCAACCTACCATCTGGCCATCTCCCCACCAAGGAATCAGCCCGGAGCTGGAGGTTTACAATGTCATAAGAAAACAAAGCGAAGCTGACTTAGCTGAGACCCGGCCAGACCTGAAGAATCTCTCATTCCGAGTGTGTTCAGAGGAAGCCACTCCTGATGACATGTCTTGTGACTATGACAACATGGCTGTGAACCCATCTGAAAGTGGGTTTGTGACTCTGGCGAGCACAGAGAGTGGATTTGTGACCAATGACATTTATGAGTTATCCCCAGAAAGAATGGGACGGAGCAGGGAGTCTGGATGGGTAGAAAATGAAATATATGGTTATTAGAATGCATGATGGGATTAAAAAACAAACAAAACATATACTGGAGAGAAAAAGAAAAGATGCAAAAACCTTCCTATTTTCTGCAAAGGAAAAGACTCAGAAGGTCTATGGAGATGTTAGCTTGGTCAAGCTCAGATGAGGTCATCGGGGTGAGCATGTGAACCCCACCAACCCCTTGTGGGTCCCCAAGTTTTGACTGCTCCCTGTATTCCAACTTCTCACCCAGCTTGACCATATGGGAAAGCACCTTGCTCAGGATTTTAGCACATGATCGATTCTCAATAAATGTTATTCATTGATTGTGTCTGCCTTTCAGGTCAGTGCTATAATTGTCAGGGACCAGGGTTATCATGTCAAAGCTTGACAGACTCCCCTCGGTTTCTACCTTTCCTGGGTTCTGCTTTTCCTGCCCTATACAGCAGCACACATAACCACAAGAAATTATAGCATCGAATATACATGGACCCTTACTGGCATGGTGGGTTAAGTGTTAGGCTGCTAGCAGAAAGGTCAGTGGTTTGAACTCACCAGTTGCTCTATGGAAAAAATAAATAATTAAAGAAATTTGTGCCTGTTAAGATTTACAGCTTCTGAAACCCAGTGGGGAAGTTCTGCTCTAGCCTATAGAATCGCTAGGAATCGGAATTAACTTGTCAGCAGTGGATTTTGGGAGGAATATATATGTTTGT